AAAGTGTTTGACTCTTTGTGGGTCAATTCGGAGAAAAAAAAAAGAAAAAAAAACAAGTCTAAAGATCAGTTACCCACTAGCAGTCAATTCAAGGCTGACCAAAATCACTCGCAGTTGCCTCGCTATATTGCTTGTGCTGTTGACTGGTAGGCAGTTTGTTGCTTGGGTCGGTGTTTGGCTGTTGGGATTATTGTGTCGCGGTGTTTGTCGTACCAGTTCATACTCGTCTTGAACCCGCGCTGAAACGGAGCACAAGCGCAAGTGCCACAAAGCGGCCTTCTGAAACCCGGGCCTGAGCTGGCGCTTATCAGATTATTGCGTCGGGGTTTGGACCAAAAAAAGAATAGCTCTAGGTTGGACCACTTTAAACGACTTTAAAAGGAACCCCCCAACCGGGTTTGGCGCGCTTTACCACCTTCTCGTCTTGGGCCTTTCAGCACCTGGTGGTCAACTGAGTCATGTGTTTTTTGTGGGTCGGTGTCGGGAGGTCCAATTTCGCGTGCCGGATTTTGGACCCCCCCCCCCCCAAAATGGGGGGGTGCTTTCTATGTTCCCCTCAAACCACCAAACAAGGGCAGCCGCAACAAAAACAAACACCCAGAGCCAATGGGCCGATTGAATCGGCTGCACCACTCCTGCAGCTAGAGTATGCTTTCCCTTTGGTCCAGTGGACATATTTATGTGAACATATTTATTTGGGTTTGTCTCCAAATTGGGGGGGGGATAGCAACACAACATTTCACAAAAAAGTGTCAGTCAGTCATACCCCCCTCAAATAGAGAGCCAGCTGGTGGAAATTGCTGGCCGTTGGTAAACAGCTACTGTAAACGGGTACCCTGAAAGAAATGCACACCCCAGAGCAGCCCCAACTGCTATTTTGAAATAAAACAAAAACAAAAACAGTTGGAGGTCCCATTGGCATGCTCGGCACTTTTCGGCGCCGTTTTGAACTCCGCTTTCCGCTGTCCGCGCGGCTCAACTTGCCGACCTGCCCCTGTTCCACAGGGGTCCGCTTCGGGGTCCAAGAAACAAAAACAACAAAAGAAGCTCGTGCGACGAATTGAGGCGGTAAAGAAATGAAGTTAATACTCAAGCTACGGCGGATGCCCTAGAAAATGCAAGTAAACCAGCCACTCTCAACCACAAAGCATTGGTAAATCACAGTAAATTGGGGGGGGGGGGGTCATTGTTCCCTTATTTGCAATGTTTGCGGCATCCGCCGTATTGCAGGACCAAGAACGACAATCGTTTACGTGTCATATATGCTTTGAGCGCATAATTGACCATGCTGTCCACTAACATGAAATCCGACTGAGGGTCCTGGAAGACCATGTTCCATTTAAACTGGACCCTGCGGTCGATTCCATGTGGTTCCACGCGGGTATGGTGCTTTGAAACATCACTGCAGAGAGAAACTCTCTCTCTTTCACCACCCAGTTGGGACAAGGACCCCTGTTCGACAGGGCACAGGGATACATTGGGCAAGTTTCAACTCTCCGGCGGGGGGAGACCTATTCTTCCAGCACCTACAGGATTCCAAAGCATTCCACATCCCCGAATCCAAGCCGAGCCCATGCCATGCAAATCCGTAACACATCACCTCTCTAAAAGGGCCTTCATGGGCCCACCTCAAGGGCCGAAGGCCCCCGCAGAGCTCCTTTGGCTCGGACTTGGGGATTTGGATCTCGGAGACCCAAGTTCCGAAGCTGACGGTCTGAATCCTACCTGCAAGTGCTGACCCAAGATCGGTTGGCCTTTCAGATTCCTCAAGCTGTGGATCCACCAAACAAAATATGTTCTCACTTCCTGGCCGAAAAGGTGAAAGCTTTTGGTTTGCCACTAAAATGGACCAAACCCGAAAAAAAATAAACGTGTAGAAACTGGGAGTGCATGAAGGACCTACACGGTCCGCTCGTTCTACCCAAATCAGTAAATCGGTGAGCTCGGTCTACCCTCAGATTGCAGAGATGGGTTTTTGAGGTATGGATGCATATATGCCCCCTTATATAGGTGGTACGTCTCCACAGCTCCAAAACCAATACCTGCCATTCATCAATAAGAACCTGGACCCTCAAGTGGCCCCTTTTTCTGCCTTTGTACCCCCTTTTTTATGGGTCAAAGGCAGAAAAGAAACAATTGGCTTTTGGGGGGTCCAGGTACTCACTAGGCCAAACCATCCCTTGAGGGTTACCTGAATTGAACCCAAGCACATGAAATCTGCAAACTTACAACACCAGATGTCCACTTCAAGAAACATAAATATGGGTATGGCTCAAAAAACCGGAATTCCAAAATGGGTTGCCCTGGTAAGTGGAAACATGGACCACAACCTGCGTAACCCTAGCTCTTAAATTGTGAGCCACTGCCATATTTCCACGAGCCGTCGATTCCCTTGACCCGATCAGTAGGCTTCCTTCCCAAACTGCTGCAAGCGGCTCAGAAGCTTGCGCGCGGCCTTGCGCGCCTGAGCGCGGGCAAGGCGTCCAAGGGCCGCTGCCTTTTTTTGAGGGTAGTCCTTTTTCTCGGTGTCTGAAGGAAACCCCAAAACGGAAATTGCTTTTTTAGTGCCCCAAAGAAAAATGACACACCTTGGTTTTTGACGGAAACCCAACACGAAAATCATGTTTTTTTAGTGGGCCCCCCAAAAGAAAGACACACTCGCCAGGTTGAGTGCTACTCTGAACCCAAGTTGAGTCATTTTCGCAGGAGAGGGAAGGTATGGCTAGGCCGGGCTTGGATTTCTCTGCACGTCACTCACAAGGCGACTTAAAGGGTGAAGATCCCAAAATGGTTCGCCGAATAAAGAAAATAAGCCATGTGCAATCATTTCTTTTTGCCCCGCCTTGAAATGGGTTCCTGAGCAAAAAGGAAGAAATAAGCCAAGTGCAATCATTTCTTTTCGCCCCTCAAACGGGTTCCCTAGATTCCCATCTTTTGGACGTAAGGGGGGTTTTCAACGACATGCTACCAAGTCTTCTTTTGGACATTTTGGGCAATGACATGTTTAGGTTGCTAGTGGAAACCTTGAAGCAAAAAGCGAGGTGCTCTTTTGAAATGGAACAAAGTCTGGCGACCCTGGGGCACCTCTCTCTCATGCGCTAGCCTAAGCCTCCCATCGGATGTTCTGGGTCCACAACTCTACCCCTTGAACACATGTCCTTTGACGGGTCATGTGGAATTTCTACGACACCTTGAAAGCAGTCTTGGCATCAAGGAGGAAACCTACACGACCGAAGCATTTTGCCGATATGCTGACATCAAAGGACCACCCTGAGGCGTTCCCCCAAATTTATTGGGTCATTTTGAGGATGCATGCCTCAATGGTCCCGTGGCAAAACTTCGAATGCGGCTTCTCCCAAAATTAGCTTTTGGGGACCCCTGACTTCCCAAGCTTCGATTTTCGTACCTGTCGGGAGCCAAAAGGACCTCGAAATCAAAGGCTAACCTTCTGAGGCCATATCAGGACTAACTACTGTATGAACCAAACCGGGAGAACCAAAAAGGTCGACAAGTCGATTAGAGTCTCGCCCTTTCGCCTCCGCGCGGTTGGATCTCCGCTTGTCCTTGGCCCAGATGGACGGCTCCATCTTCGGGAAGATGACAACTGGCCAAGTGCGGTCGGGGGGTGAACAACCTCGATGGCCCCCAAATGACCCAGGGTAACGTTTTCCCATTTCGTGGAAAATGAGTCATCCTCTTTTTAGTGGTTTCTTTCACCATGGTCATCCCGTGTAAAGGACGTTTTGATCAACCCCCAGAAAAGCCTCTGGCTCCATGGACATGGGACAAATACGCCAGGGCGAAAGTAGATGGCACACGTTCCCTTTGTGTGGGTAAGTAGAGGGGATGACTCAGGGAACTGTGCCATCTTTTGCCCAACTGTATGGCGTCCCCCTGGTTTGCGCGAGACATGTAGTGATGACTCAAAGACCACTACAGTTACCATCTTCGTAGTGGAATTAATCCAGCCCATAAAAGAATCCACAATTGCCATAGGACATGCAAAAGTCGCACATCTACTCGCCAGAAAGGTTTCTCTGAGCCTTGCAGAAGGGTGGGGGGGGACTGGCAATTTCTTCCGGCTCATAGGGACGCAGCCGGAGTCTCTGCTCCTATTGAGTGTGTCGCTGGGCTGGACAATTCCGACTCAGGTCTGTCCGTTTGGGGCCGTCGGGGGTAGAAGCTATCTACAATTCTGGCCAAACGAAGCTTCCCAAACCCACACCCCAAGACCCGTCTGACCCCACAATGCAGAACTATGAGTGGATGCCTCAAGATAGAAATTTCAACTTTGGGATGGTTTCGACAGGAACAACATGAAAACCAACCACCTGACGCCCCCCATTTGGAGACACAGCCATATATGACACGCTTGCTTAACCCCCATTTTCCCCGTGCTTGGGGTTGACCTTGAGGCATTTTTTGGTGGGGTGGGTATTTAAATCGTTGACTGCACGTACTGGAGGGCAAGTCTAGGTATCCCTTTACCTTCAAGCCCACATGCTGCCACGTGCATGCGCCGCTCTGTGACACCATTTAAGTGGTTGATCCAATCATGACTACTTGAACTCACGTTATTTCAAGGGCACACAAAGTGGCCGTCCCACAAACCCAGCCGAGGGGACCATGTCCTTCGGTTATTTTCTGATGGGGGTCCCCCGTTTGGACACACACTGTCCTAAACTCCCACTTGAAAAAAACTGGTACGTCCCTGGGCGTCGCCACGCACACACTGGGAATGCCACGTCGGCAGTCAAACACCAAACGTTCAAACACGTAAACATGAGATGAAATGTTGCAAGTTAGCACTGAACCGTGCAAAGTCAGTGGCCTTAAGGGCGATTGTTAGGGGTGAGCCCTCCAGCTGCCCGCGACGGGACCCAGGAGCAGCTCTCAGGCAGGTACGTTTCACGAAAAGTATGTGGGGTCTTCGTTGGCAGCCGCCCACATACTCTTCCGGCTGCCCCCTGCCGGCATGCACGAATTGCACGGATTTGACA